AGAGAGAGAGAGAGAGAGAGAGAGAGAGAGAGAGAGAGAGAGGTGGTGCAAATGGGCTTGGAGGGAGAAGTTAAGTGCTGGGCAATGGTGAGATGGTGGGACTGTTTAGGAAGGAGGCATCTTATACAATTCGCTCACACATGCACATACACGTGAAGACACAATGTGGGGTGGACGTAGTCTTGTCTCTCACCTGATCTGTCAACGCTTTAGCCACGGCCTTGCCTGTCTTCCGGTTCATGGTGCGGGAAATGGCGGCTCTCCATCGCTTGCCCAGCTTTGACCGTCCCGAGTCATCAGGGCTAGGTAGTGGGCTGGGCTCGTTGCCTTCAGGAACCTGCAGAGAGAGCCATGGACCTTGGGCTTCCCAGGAAGGAAGAAGATGGCTCCTTACTGGTATGGGGTTGGGTGAATTGAGTTCGGGAATGGACCTTCCTAGCTTGGGACTTTTTTGGGACTCAGTATCAGATGAAGCGTCTGCCTTTCAGAAAGCAAACAGTATCTCCATCCAACCAGTGGACTACAACTAAAGAGAGAGCAATGGAAAAGGTAAAGATAGGGTTGGGAGGGTGATGTTGAGCCAAGGATGGTGGCAAAGGCTGGAGATGGGGAAAATGAGAAGGCAACATGGCTGCCATTGGGAGGATGGCCAGTAGGAGCCCAAGGTAAGAATCAAGGGAGGGGATGGATGGGGTGTTACCTCTTCCTCTTCCAGGCTGAATGCTTTTTCGTTCAACAGCGGGGAGTTGGGTTTGGATTTGGCAAAATCCTTGAAACTGCTGGACCGCTGCAGTGACAGCTGGTGGGAGAAGGGAGAGATGGTTGTCAGTAGCGTGTATTCCAGAGCAGAAAAAGCCAATGGGTCTTGGGAATCTTGCAGACATCTCTATATTTTATTTTATTTATTTCTATAGCTGCCCATCTCACATTTGTGACTCCGGGCAGCTTACGATATTCTAGGTTATAGGGTTGGCAGATGGAGCTGCAGCCACAAGTGAATGGAGTTGGCAGGAGACCATTGTTTTTTTGCCTTTGGTCCGCCATCCCTCACTACCTCTTACGTGTGAAGGCAAATATGCCCATGCACGCGTGCACGTACACACAGCAGAAGAGGAGGTAGGCAGTCCGTGAGCTGGCTGATGCAGAAGACTACATAAAAGTCCTAACTTCTACTTTCCATCTCTATTTTCTCTAGATCGCTTCCTGCAACCGAAAATAAACACATTTTGCTTCCCATTTGCCACTCCCACTCCATCCTCTGGTGGAACAGGTCACATTTTCAGATTATAGAGTCCTTGGGGCAAGGTCCTGTTCTCTTGTATGCCACCAGGCCTGCAGATGGAGGGATGATGATAATGATGGTGATGGTTAACGAAGAACAGGTTAAAAACTAGCCTAGAATGAGAGATGGTTTTGACCGAGGGGTGGAATTGTGGTTCAGTATCAGAGGAGGAAGTAAGAGTTCTGAGGAAGGATGAACGGTCATTAAATAAGAAGCCAATGTGGTGTGGAGGTTAAGGTGTTGGACTAGGAGTCAGGACACTTGGGTTCAAGCCCATTCTTAGCCACAGAAACCCACTGGGTGATCCTGGGCCACTTGTTCTCCTTCAGCCCAAACTATTGCAAAGAGTTAACGAGAAAAAAATGGAGGAGGGGTTGCTATGTACAACGCCTTAAGCTCCTGAATGAAAGGCAGGATGGAAATTTAGTAAATATATACATAAAGGGAAAACCCTTCTATGCTATTTCTCCCCAGGATCAAATCTGGCTGTTCACATGACAGCTTGCCTCCGCCTACCCATTTCTAGTTTTTGCAATCTCATTAAAAGGGTTATTTTTTGTGCTCGTGCGTTCCTATCTACCTAGGTGCTCAAAGAATGCAATCCAGTAGCAGAATGGTCTGGGGATACTTCTACTTAAGCATACAGTTGAGATCACTTGTTAGCCTGGTCAGCACTGCTCACTTCTGGAGACAAAAGACCGGGTTGTCTGGATGCCTTTCTAAAGTTGATCTAGCTATTTTCTGCCTGCCTGCCTGCCCCCCCCCCCCAAGCTCTCTTTCTCTGTCTCTCTTTTTTGCAGAGTTGCTCAAAACCAACACTTAGATCGATACCGTGCAGAGGAAGTGGGTTAGCATCAGGTGACTAACAATTGCACCCCCCCAAATCCAAACACCTGGGAGAGCGGTAAAGGCAGCGGCGAGGTGAGGGGGGTGTGATTTCCGTTTTTTGTTTTTTTAAAAAAAACAAGGAGCTGTAGAAACCCAGTTCGTACCGAGAGCTAGTTTGGTGTAGTGATTAAGGCACCAGGCTAGAAACCAGGAGACTGTTAGTTCTAGTCCTGCCTTAGGTATGAAGCCAGCTGGGTGACCTTGGGCCGGTCCCTCTCTCTCAGCCCTAGGAAGGAGGAGGCAAGGGCAAACTGCTTCTGAAAAAACCTTTCCAGGAAAACGGGACTAATCCAGGCAGTTGCCAGGAGTCAACGTGAAGGCACCAAAAAAAAAAAAAATCCAGCAAGAGGAGGAACCCTGCCAACCTGTGCATGCACACTTTGTGGTTCTGAAAAGAGACGTGCTCAAGCCCAGAAGCCAGAATATGTGCCTCGGTGCATTTAGCTAAGTTGGAAGGGTGAGTCCAGGATGCTGAGGCGGGAGGGGCAAGTACAGGATGCTGAGATTCAACCCCAGTTCCACATTCAGATACATTCATGCAAATATTGGTTATTGCTAGAGCTAAGTGAAAAATCAGTCGTCTTCCTTGGAAGAACAGGAACCACAGCCAATCTACCCAAATATACCCTCAGGCCTTTGCGGCAGCACCAGCCACATTTCTGGAGGCACCTTGCACCGCAGGGAGGACCTGTGGTGTTTGCAAAGCCTGTCTCCAAAGTATGTAGCTGCTTTTTTCTGAAAAGACAGGCTACTCAGAGACTCCCAGGCTGCAGGTTGTGGCTTGTTATGCGTGAAGTAGACTGAAATGGAGGCCTTCCCTGAAATTAACCTTTTGGCAAGCTTATTTCATGTTGACATTAAGCTCCTCTCTTCATATTGTGGAATTGGGATCCTAGAAAAGAAGGTGAGGGAATGGAGAGAGTTGATAAGGGTGATACAAGCAGATGGGGAAGGCAAGGGAAAGCTACAGTGCCCCAAAAATGAAGAGGAAAAACATTAGCTGCTGCAAAATGTGATTGACTGTTTAAGAAAAAAAGGGATTTTAAGGAAGACTCAACCAGCAGGGAAACTGGTTTCTTTTAGCCCTTCATCCTTGTTTTTAAAATAAAGTTTAAAGAGTGCTTATAAAAACTGCAAGAGACAAATGCTTGCTAAGTTCATGTGCATCATGTTAAGCTGGTGTTTCTCAACCTTGGCAACTTGAAGGGGTGTGGACTTCAACTCCCAGAATTCCCCAGCCAGCATGCTAGGTGAGGAATTCTGGGAGTTGAAGTCCACACACCTTCAAGCTGCCAAGGTTGAGAAATGCAGCTAAGCCACTGTTTTCTTAAGCCTAATTGACTGAAACCATAGCTGGTTGGGTCCATACCACCCTCTACCCAAACCATGATTTACAAACAATGGCTGGGTTTGCACAGTGAGCTAAGCCAAGACCAAGTCACTTTACACATCTCAGTACAATGTGGGGATCTAACCACTGTTTGAACTAAGGCTTTCTCACACTTCTCACAATTCTGGTGGAAAGCTTTGTCCAAGAAAGTACACTTGTGCTTCATCTTAAAACAGCGACATGGCCCATGTGCAAAAGCATGTAAGAAAGTTATTTGATCCAAACTTTTATTAATCTTGGATTCAGATTTGTTTCACTGAACTGCATCTTTGAAGCATTTCCCAATATCTTGGAAAGTTAATGAAGGGAGCATGGAAAACGGCCCCTTTTGTTTTCAAGACTCGACTGTTTTGTTCCTGTTTTTCTGGGGCTCATCCTAGTATATGTCACAGCCCCCGATGTTTTCAGAGAATGCAGTTTTCCATAAGGTAGAAACGCACGCTCATAGGAAAATTTCTCTCTGCACATCGGGCCACTTAAAGCAAGGGCAATAAGCTTAATGTTCTTGAATTTATGTTTTTATCATTCATGTTTCTCAAACTGCCCAACTTTTAAACAACTTTAGGTGGTGTACAGTACAAACTGAAAACCAAAGGAATAGAACAGCACCAGATAACAAAAAAGAGGTAAAACTCCTCGCAAAGGGAGCCCGCCACGCCTCCTAGTCCAAAGCCTGAGGAAAGAGCTAGGGATTCAAGGCTCATAAACGGAGAGCACGACTGGGGTAATTTGAATTTCTGGAGGGATACTGCTCCAAAAGGCAGGCACTGAGACAGGGAAGACATGCTTCCGGGTACCATCAGATGGCATTGTTTAATGGATGAGACCTGGAGCATGCTGACTCTGCCTGGTGTTACGTAATGGGAAGAAACAATGGGAGACAGATGGTCTCTCGGATAACTAACCCCTATGCCCTGTAGGACTTTGCAGGTGATCACCAGCACCTTGAACTGCATCCAGAAGTCTACAGTACAGTGTGTAAAACAGAAGCGTCATGCGGGCATACCGAGGCGTGCCCATAATTGCTTGCAATAACACATTCTGGACCAGCTGAAACTTCTGAGTGTTCTTCAAAAGCATGTAAAGTGCATTGGGGCCCTCTGCCCATCAGGTAGCCAAGTAGGACAGTGAGAAGGGCCTCCTGGTCTGGGTGCATTCGGTGCACAAGATGGATCTGTGAGAAGTCCTTCCTGGATACAGTCACCACCTCCTTTTCAAGCAGGAGCTGAGCATCCAGAAAGGCCCCCAAATTGTGCATCAGTTTCATCTGTAACTCCGTTCAGAACTAGTAAAGGAAATTATAGATCAGGAAGTAGAGCCGGAAGCTCCATGCACCTACAGCTGTTTGAGCTTACAGTGGTTGAGTTAAGTCTGTTCCCCCCCCATCCAGACCCAAATAGCCTCCAGGCTCCGGGACAATCCTAACCCTAAGGCTGACAGCATCACTCAGTTGGTCAGGGGTTCAGATATACAGCTGATTATCATCAGCATCCTGCTAACTAATGGATGACCTCACCAGCAGCTTCACATAGGCAGGAGAGGTGAGAGCGTGGAGCTCTATGGCACTCCACAGGTCAGGGCCTTTGGACATGATCCCTGCGCCTTGTCAACACTAACTGGCCCAGAGAAAGGAGGAAAACCGCTGCAACACCATGCCCTCCACTCCCAACTCCTGCAGTCAGTCCATGTAATGGGCTGTGAGAATAACCTTGGGAGACAGGAGGAGGACCATAGCCTAGACAACGGTCAGGTAAAAGATATCTCAGGCCACAGAAGAAATAGGGGTGGGGGAAGCATCTCAGAAGGGACCCTCCCTAGTTCTCTGAAAAGTAAAGGCAGGGCAGGGGAGAAGTGCTTTCAAATGTGCACGATTCTGTCCCCTTACAATAAAGGTACAGTAGGGACAGTATTGTCTTAGTTTCTTGTCTGGACTAGCTTGAAAGGCTGACCGTCCAAGAGGATACCATGGCTGATGGGTCCAAAGGCTGCTGAGAGATCAAGGAGAGGCAGGATTCACAGGGCAAATGACATACTTTGAAGGACTCTGAGGTGTCTTTTGGCTAGTGGAATGGAATGTAGCCCATAATCCTTCCTACCCAAATCTGAAAGGCGTAATTTCAGCAGTATGTTTTGCAGATGGTACAAACGTAATTTCATTGTTTGCATAAAACCTGAGAGTCAAGAATAGCACTATGCAAAAAAAAATAATCTTTTTTCTTCCCTAGTAGTACACATTCAGTCTGATAAAAGATCATTTACTTTTCCATTTTCTTTCAAAGGAAGAGAGAATTTTGGGGAAATTCTCATAGGTGGAACGGGGTGTTTCTGCACTTTAGTGACAAGGTGGCCAAAGAGTGAATGTGGATCCCCTGTCTTTCTTTGTACAATCAGCTCTCCAGTAATCTATAGCCTCCTTGGCTTCCCACACTTTAATCTCAAGGGGAGACATCATGAAGAAAGTCCTCTCAGAGGACCTTTTCCAACTGGGAAATGGGGGCAGCCAGGGAGGCTGCAGAGAGATGGAACAATGTGTCACAAAAACAACACAACGGATAAAATCAGTGACAAAATATGACCCAGAGAAATCTGGAACAAATTCTGAAGCCCTGAGAATAAGTTAGAAAAACAGAAAAAAAAAAAACACGTGTGAAAAGTTGAGAGTCAGATTTTGGTACGGCACATGTAAGGAATCATTGTGATTTCAGGGCAGATCGTCATGAGTTCTACCAGTAGATTCTGATGGATTACTGGAGTGCTCCTGACATTAATACAGTCTCACTACTCAAAGACTTGTGTGAGTGCCGTTGCTATCACAAAGCAAGCCAGCAAAAACACATCCAAGAGCATCTGTTCAAAATGGTTCACAGCTTCAGGCAGTTACAATACCCTTCTCCTCCCTCCCCTGCAAGGGTTGTCATTCTCTCTGAATACATCTCTCTCCTTGCTTGCTCCTCTTCGTTAGTGTGACCCCCACGCCCCTACTGTTTCCCCTGCAAGAGATCCTGAAAGCCCTTTGGGTGGTGGTGATGGTGTCCCCGATTGGGTGGACTTCTGCCCCATGTGAGTAGGATCAAGAAGAAGCACAAGGGGATGATGGCAGTATTCAGAATATGGCGGGAGGAAAAATGGTGTGGATGTCTGTAAGGGGGCAGGGCTCAAACTCCCTGTATGTGCTCTTTGATTCCTTCCCCCCTCCAACTTTAGGCAAAGTGCCCCCCTCCATCTTTCCCAAAACTCTACATCTGCAGGGTTGGCACCCAAGGTAGGGAATCCAGGCTACCTTCTGTGCCTCTTCCTTGTCCTGCAGTCATCTCCAGTGGGTCAGCCAGGCGATTGCCTTGCAAGGGCTCAGGACAGACCCTCCCTCACTCACCTTCCTCTTTTGGACTGGGTCCTTCTCACTGGCATTGGATGGCTTCCGACGCAACATGGTGCCCTCTCCAAAGCGCTTTAATTCATTGATGGGTAATGCCAGAGAACGCCAGAGAGAGCAGACACACACGAGAAGCCCCAGAGGCCAGGAAGTGGGCAGGAAATCACTGCATCACATGGGCCTCCTTTTCCCAGCAAGTGGGCCTCCACAAGCGACGAAAGCGAGACCCAGCCCTATGCTTGCACATTTTGACACAGGAAGGAAGTGGCAACCTGACATGTTCATGAGGACTGGCCTTGCCTGAAGCTACAGAAAAGATAGATGACTTTGGGAGGAAGGGAGAAAGGTTTTGGTACGCCTTTTCTTATATAGGGCAAACTTTGGTTTTGTTGAGGTTTGCAGAACTATCAGAAAGTATGGACACCCACCAGATGGCAGCAGAGAGAGAAAGACAGAGTGGGACAGAAATGTCCAACCCTTTGATACCCTCTTGTGGTCATCTGGATCTTTGTAGCTGAGATCTGATATCTCTAGATCAGTGTTTCTCAACCTTGGCAACTTTAAGATGTGTGGACTTCAACTCACCTGGCTGGGGAATTCTGGGAGCTGAAGTCCCCACATCTTAAAGTTGCCAAGGTTGAGAAACGTGCCTTAGATTTATGGTGATGGACAGAGAAGTAGGAGCAGAGAATTTGGGGCACCTAACAATGCCTCTTTATAACTTTTCCTTAATTTTTAGCCAGCTTTTCATGTTCAGGGCAGGGTATTGATCCCTTCTGCCCTTTCTTTTATCCTCATAACGTTCCCCAACCCACTTTGTACTGATCAACAGAATTATAGGCTTGTTGGCTTGTAGATTCTTCAACGTTTTGTAAATGGGACCAGGAACTGTATCTACTGGCTTTTATTGGGGGAGGGAGGGGGAAAGCTCACCAAGGTTTGACTGAATATATTTCTGTCTTAACCCCTGGCAAAATGTTGAATTTGAATTAAAATGGTAAAGGCTAAGATCTTTTTGCTAGTATTTTAAAAGTTACAAACCAGGTTTTGTTCCACTTGGATGTGAGGAAGTTAGAATTGTGTGTCAGATTTTTTTTCTTTCTCTCTCTGTATATTCTGTGTGTGTACACACACACACACAAACTAGCAAGAAGTCTTGTCATCCCTAAAGAGAAACCACATAATTGTTCTTGCTGTTATATTGCTGTTTATAGCCTAGAGTTCCATGGATTTTAATCCTTTAATCCCAAAACTGTTTAAAATGTAGTAGAACTTCCTTGCTGCTAAGATAGCCGCATGGACATATCCCAAAGTCACCAAGAGCCAAGCTTCACTTGAAACAGACTTTAATCTTTGAGATCCAGATAATGAGAACAGGATTACATTCCTGTTTGTATCCTCCCTTCCCCCTTAAATATCAAAGTTGAATAACATCCATAATTAATAAAGTTATAATGAGGCATCTTTTTTTTTCTTTATGCAGAATAACGATAGGACCTAAAGGCCACAAAACGTGTCATTTCCTGACTGAATGTAGAAGCTGATTTCAGTAAGTGTGTGAGCAATTCTTTGGGCTTGGGGTTGCATCACACTTGGATACAAACTCTGTAGTCATCCAGAATTGGTGGGCAACCAACCCGCACCATTTTAGTTTTATGCAACAGATTTAGGCAAATCATTTAGGTTGGTGCCTCTGCAATACCTGCCTTGTCCCAGCTATTCTGCAGATATCTTCTTTCTGCCCCCAGCTGTTCACAGGACTTTTGTGATCTGAAGCACGGAGTGAGAAATAATAAAAATGAAATCAGTCAGAGCAGGTGAAAAGTACCGCCAAGCTGGAAGCAGAAGAGGCATGTCTAAATGTAAATAAAGGTAGGGAGAAACTGTCTATGATGTGAGAGACCTTCAGGCCATCTGAGGATCTTCCTCTTTTGGAAAGCATTTGCATAGATTTGGGTTTGAATGCAAACAAGAGAGGCCAGTAGGTGGATGTGGCTCACCAACATCTCTGTGACAGCCTGTAGAGCTTCCCCAAGTTTTAGAGTTTTCTGCAACAAGGGTCCCCATTTCGCTCCTTACAATTCCTGAACCTGCTTCTCAAATGAGCCCCCATCCCATCCACTTAGAGAGTGGCTGGCACCGTGCCATGTAAAGGCATTTTGCCCTCAAGCTGACCGAACATAATACCCCTGTATTAGAACCTGGTTGAGAGAAATCTCTTTTAACACCCAACAACCACAACTGATGGAGAATTCTTGGGAGTCTTTACTTGCGACGCATGTAAAAAGGGTGGGACTTTAATCACACGGTTGGGCCCAGCAACCTGAGTTTTTTGAAGCCCCTTGAGGACCCCCTCGCCCCCGTATTGTTTCCTTCTGGTTTTTTTTTTTTTTTTTTTACTGTCCTTGAATGCTAGTGGTCTCCCATCCAAGTACGAAGAAGGTCCAACTCTCCTTAGCTTTTCAAAGTCAGCTGAGTGCAACTAGCTGCTTCCCCCTGATAAAATATCTCAAGAGGCCTTTCAATTTTTTTCTCCTCTTGTGGTGACAATGGGTATGTTTTATACCCAGGTTTTTGGGGATTAACTGGTATGACTGTATATGGATTTTTGAATGGAGGGGATTTTTATTTTCCGATCGGTCCAGTCTTCTTGTTGTTTTTAATTCACCTAGTATATTTGCAATATCTGATAGATATATCATGAACTGGACTGGACTTTCAGTACAATCCACTATATCAGTGTTTCTCAACCTTGGCAACTTGAAAATGTGTGGACTTCAACTCCCAGAATTCCCC